AGTGTTGGAATTTTAAGTGTTAGAATTTTTTCCTTAAATACCCATCAAAACTAGCTGAAACTGCATGCAGGAGTTCAAAATAAAAAAATTCACACAACAGGTGAGATAAACTTTTATTCACGTTTTTCCAAATAAAATACGGCATATTCTAAATCCCCTTATAAAATAACTGTTATGAATGTCGCGTTCTGATTGGTTTGGAGCGCGTGCTTTATGAGAGCACATTGCACGCGCGCGCACTTTCCCTTGCTTCATTCCTATCTATTATTGTAATTTGAATTTTATAAAAGAAAGAAAAAACTTGCTTGCTGAGCTGTGTGCAGTCATAAAGCACTTGGGGATTGACAGAACACTCGAGAATTGTCCAGAAGCACTCCGCTACGCAACGTGCTTCTCCTAACACTTCTCTCGTGTTCTGCCAACCCCCGCGTGCTTTATGACAGCACACAGCACCGCGCGCGTTTTCTATTTCTTCAATACATTCTCTTATAAATGTTTTGAGCTTGGGTTGCCTGTGGTATCCCATCGAGCGGAGATAAGGTTGGCGCGGTCACATATAATATTTTAAGAATCCGGAATTTAAGGTGAGTCCTTGATTTCATACTATAMTTTCTCGCTTTACGAATGTCGTTATTCAGAAGGAAGGTCATGAACTCATCACACAAAGTCTTATGAATTTACATTCCGGTCATTTTAGCAGGATTCATTGGATCATGTATAAAGAATTCAATGAACCATAGACTATATTTATAAAGCTTGATTTGCAGCCGATATTCATTATTTTAAACATTACACGTAGCTTTTAGCTGAAGCTTGAGCTAGTGCCCGGTTGCGAAACGATTTTCAGAACYAATCAGTGGACTCTTCTCAAAATTGTTTTGAATACGAGGTCACACAGATAAAAAAGAAATGCCAAAAATTACTAAATTCCTTCGAGAAAAAGTGTCCTTTCTTTCTTATTTTCATATACACCTAATTGAGAAAACGTAGTTGGGTTCGAGAAGGTCATATCATGAGCTAAAACCGAATTAGATTTTCGGCACTCCGAAATGTGTATTATATTTGCATATAGACATGTAAAATATTTGCATATAGACATGTAAAATATTTGCATATAGACATGCACAGTAGAGCAAAGTTGGTCGACCTAGATTAACAACATGCCAAAGCCATGTTGCATAAAATGTGCACAGGAAGGGAAAACTGCAACAACTTTTATGATATAACCTTTTTCTGGGGTGTTACTAAAACGAGTAACGCAGTAACGAGTAACGAGTAAACCGAGTAACCAGAAAACGAGTAACATGAAATTGTTTATACATTTAGAAATCAGATTACGACTTTTAAAATCATTAAATTGAAATGATCATAAAATATTTACTAAAGTTACTTACGAATAAAGCTATGTAATACACAGGGATTCAGGAGATCGAAAAGGAACATTCCGTGGTCGGCCGTTCAGGCACTTCCGCATTCATCATTGTACAAATTGATCGGGAATTCTTCCAAGATTTTCTCTSAAGGTTTACTGTTATGTTGCCTATGGATTATCTAGTCTAACATTTTAGCCATACAGTAGCAAGAATTGAACGAGAAAATATTGAACCTAATCTTACAAAGCGTTTTATTATGTCTTATTATACTCGACAAAATTATTCGATTCTTATTGGACTTAAGATAAAGGAGTACAGTTAAATTCCAAATTGTACTCTGTAGAGTCTCCAATAAGTTGCTCAATTTGGTTGAGCGTATTATAAACAMAACATCGCACGATCTTCTCGTATATTTCGGAATTTATAGATACTAGTGATGTTTTGAAAGTTACCAAATTGTACTCGCCTAAATGCTCGTCCAATTTTGAAAGCATCACTMGTACCTCGAGATCGTGTGATTTCCTATACAAATAAATAGCAATATTCGATCCCTGCTAGCAGAGTCTCCCTTGTTGGCGATATTCTTGGTCAATATTCGCCAACGAAGGAGACTC